TAAACAATAAACAGAATCAAGAAAAATGAAATAGAAATTGCTACTTCATAGCTTAATTGGACTTTGAAATAAATTTTAAACCTACTTGCTTAAATGTACGTAGCTTGAGAGAGTAAATCATACAGTAAAAACACTTTATTTGGATGAAAAAAGTTACATTGTACCGAAGTTGTCCTAAACACTACACCGAATTAAAGGCACAACAAAATTTACATTTTTAGCTAAACGGTCTAACTTGCCTGATATTATTCGAAGTTAGCGTGTCATAACACAGTTCTTATTGCCTGGTGTAAGCTGTCTTAATTTGTTTACTGAAGGAAACATCAAATTATGAAAGCATGCAAATCGTTACCTGAATATCATGTAAATGAAAATTGCATTCGTATTTATGCCGCTTTCTTATGTATTATGATAAAATGAAAAAGTAAAATAGTTTTACCTAGAAGCTACCTTTAACAAATTTTAATATTTTAATTTTTCTATTTAAATTATTATGTTCTATCCGAAGTATTTAATTATAAGATAAAAACTTAGAAATATCATAATTATTGATTACAAATTAAATATCTTTTTAACATACGAGAGGACGCAACGATAGTAAACATGTCCACACCATGATGTTTTACTTTTAAGCTGACGTGGAGATGTTTTTTTTTAACATCTTTTACTTTATATTTACCAATAACAGTTAACTCGCATTGAAATAATTATATTTTTTATTCACCAACATGTTCCAAGTATCTGATTTCCAAAGTAAGTTGCTTTTCGACGGACAACGTTTTTAGTGTCTAATTATATAATGTAAATATGATTACATATAAATTACAATATTATTAACTTAATTATATAGCGGTTTTAGTGCTACAGTTTGTAAATATATTATATTACTTATTATTAGTAATATTAGTAGTAGTAGTGTCACTATTGTGCTGGTTCGCCAGTTCTTCTGAATGATAGTAAAGTTAATTCAAATAAAATAATATAAATATTGAATAGATAATCGATATTAAAAATAAAATAAATAAACAAATAAAACTGTATTGTTACCATAAAAATCTGATTTATAAATTACTAACAATTATTACAATTCACTTGCTCTCTCTGGTTATTATATAATAGTAGTTGGTCATGAAATTTGATATAAATAGACCTTCACCACTACTGTATCTGTAATAATATCCCAGCCAGCCAAATAATCCCTGGTGAAAGGCCTTATTCAGTTATTGGTACTGGATTATCCAGTAGATATAGCAGGTGTAGTGTGATTAACATATTATAACATATTCTTCTTTATTTGTACTCTTAAGTTCTTAGAATAGTATTACTAGTAAAGTAATACTAGTTTATTTCTGCTGTATTAGACCAAGCAGTAATTAACTGATGACAATAATATGTAGAATAGTAGTTTGACAGTTGAGCTGCACAGCCTTGCATTCTAATTTTATACAGTTTAAGCACTTGGACAACTGTAGTTATATCTTGGCTAGTCTAGAAAAGAATGGGTAAGAGCAAGGATTTTTCCAACTTTAATAGTCTACAGGCATATGGTTGATGACTGTCTAGCAAGACTTAATCAGCTGTTCAAAGATTTTAATGAGTCTTTTATTCAACACTAAGAATAATCAAAATGTTGACACCAGGATTTTTAAAAACTGAATATTTATTAGAATGTTCACAAGTTGAACAGAACTAAACTCATAATTCTAAAGTTACAGGCTCAGACTTTTACAAAGAGTGCAACTGAACTCTTTAACTTCTGACTCAACAATACAAATTTGAAACAAGCTATGAAAAAAGAACCGGAAAAAAGAAACCTAAGTTTTTAAATTATCAAAAAAATCTACTTAATAAAACAACAATTACAAACTTTGTTGATTAATTATAACCTACAATATTTCCAAGCTCTAACCTCAGTTTCAAGCAATATCTGACAGCTCCACATTCTCAAACATCTGGCATTTCAGTCTGCATTTTTACTTTATATGCTTATTTGCTGCTATGTGATGAAATTGCAACTTGGCACAGGACAATTACTAGCTATTGACAATATGTCTGATCAGCTTGTTTATGTAGGATGACAGATTGATTTACATATGGTCAAATTTTTATTGTATCCAGCCATACCATCCAAAAAACATTAAGAAAATTGTATAAGGCAGTTGATGACCAATCCAAAAGCTGCTCATCTCAGATGCAAAAGTTCACAGTTTCATTAGTGTTTCACACTGTACATGGTGAATGATTGTTTCACCATTGGAAACTTTTGAAAATGATGTAACATAATGATGTGGGGAGTATCCTTGTGGCAGGGGTGGAATCTTTGGTTCTTTTAAAAGGGTCATAACACCAACATCATGCTGATCATGCCCAACCCATTAGTTAATGAAAGTTGCTTTGTTGAATGAACAAGAAGACTTGGATAATATGAACTTTTATATGATTAGCAAGAGAGAGAGAGAGAGGGAAGCTTTATAAAAGATCTAACAGTTACAATAAATTGAACAGATGATAATACAGCATCTTTTCACTTTGAAGCTTCTTTTAATATTGTAGATACATTTTATTATTTCCACTCTGTAGATCTTATTGTAGTTTTATTTGTTTTTCACAATATATGCAAAACTGTTTATGGCATGGTGGGTTAAAATTGATATATGTTTATATAAATATTTAATATATGTACATTAATTATTTATATATATTGTTCATGGAACAAGTTAGTTAATTCTATCATTAATTTTAAAAAAGTTAAAATTTTCACAAGAGACTGATTTTTGATGAAAATGACTAAGAATTTTAGAGAAATAAACAAATAAAATTAATTGATGAAACTGTTTTAAATATATTAATAAAGCTTTGTTCTTACCTTTCTGACAATATAAAATGGTAGGAATGTATAGGTTTACCTCTCAATGTTTTGGTCTTCTCACATAAAGGTATTTATAATCATAAGACTAAAATTAGTAAGTGAGTCAGAAATCTATTGTATGTATTGTTTTTCTTTGTGTTCATTAATTATTAAAATACAGAACTGTGTATACTTTAAAAAAATGTGATTTGATACTTTCCACAGAAATTGGTGTTGGACTAACAGGATTTGGTGTGGTTTTTCTCTTCATGGGTGTGATATTTATTTTTGATAGAGGACTTCTTGCAATTGGAAACGTAAGTGAAATCAGTTGCATTTGTCGAGAAGGGATTTTATAGTGGAATTGACATGTGATGTATAGTCTTTTAAAAAGGTTTTATGTAATAATCCATACTGTCATGGGCACTTTAAATGCCAGTTTTTGTGCAGATAGTGATGTATTTGCATTAAATGATTTATTACCTGCCAAGCAAGAATATTTCATTAATCCTTGTTTTATCTCTGTCTTTGTGTTATAATAAATTAGACGATGAAATAGTCTCTTTTTCTTTCACAACAAATATTATATCAGAAATGATCAACCCATTATTTAAGTGTCATAATCTGTCACTGATACTAAAATATTTTTTTTCTTAAAACACAACTGTTTTTACACTACTGTATCAGCCTAATTTTTTACCACAGTTAATATGTATATATTTTTATAAGTAATAATTGAAATTATTGGTTCTTGTTGAAATTCTATAAATACAGAATTGAGAAAAACAAAGACAACTGTACATTTCACAAATATTGCATTTATTTCCACCATGATTTTGCCAGTAAAAGTTCATCAGACATCAACAGGTACCATCGTCTTTACTGACGAAACCATGGTAGTAATAAATGAAATATTTGGGAAACATACAATTGTCTTTGTTTTCCTCAACTCTGTAATTTATTTTTTTTTTCAGAAGTGGAATCATGACTCTCATGTTGATGAATTTATTTTTCTTTCAAAACAATCATAATTAGAAGGGCTTATTTTATAAAATTTTAAAAATATAGGTTTTAATTGTAACATGTTATGAGTTTTTTGTACATATCAATTTTGCTACCATAGAAAGTGGATTAATGTACAAGTCAGGTTTTGAAAGTTCTTTTAGTTCATCAGACATAGTTATATTTCAGTCACTCAGAAAAAAAAACAAAAAGAGTAGAAAGTACCTTTTAATTTAAATTGTTCTAACATTGTTATGAACAAATATTCTTTAATTAAAACTGTTCTAACATTGTTATGAACAAATATTCTTCAATCAAACTGTACTTATATTTTTAAGAACAACTTATATTATTATTATGAACAGCGATATATGTAATGATTTCTTAACGATACAAATTATTTTTCTCTGCCATGTATTGTTTGGGAGAAGGAACCCACACTCATACAGTATAGTGGGGAAACATTCAAACATGCCTGTAGAATATAAGTTCAGGCTAAAAAAATTCTAAGCAGGATTTTAAGTATTTTGCTGGGTCTTTGAATACAATACCGTCAAAATAACGTGAGATTCATTATCAAATGACTAAAGTTTATTCAAAATTCACTGAAATTTAAAATCTTGGCATTTACATGGAAACAGTTCAAGAGTAATAAAATAAGAATCTGCTGACTATATATATATATTTTTCTTTCTTCAGATATTGTTCATATCAGGATTAGCTTTTGTCATTGGCTTGGAAAGAACATTCCGGTTTTTCTTTCAACGACATAAATTAAAAGGATCTGCAGCTTTTTTTGGTGGACTATTTCTTGTATTATTTGGTTGGCCTATTATAGGGATGTTAGTTGAGACATATGGGTTCATCTTGCTTTTCAGGTATGTTTATCATGCTCTGTGAACTGTTAAAAGTTATTATTTAAAAACAGTTAGTTATTAAAATAGTTATTTATATTTGATCAGAGTTGAATTAACAAGCCAAAAGACCTAATTTATAGACTTTTTAAAACATTTCATAAAATATTTATTGCTTAGATATACTAACAGATTGTTAATATTCCTTTCAATGCCACCTACTCTTCTAATGCTCCAAATCTCTGTTGTATTTATATTCATGAAGGTAAGTTATACTATAAGTTTCACTTAAACCTGTAGTTCATAAGAAAGAAATTTAACATACGGTGAAATCAGCTATTTTGCTAATACAATACTAATTAATTTATAATACAACTCATAATTAACCCAAGAGCTTTTAGCTCCTCTGGATTAATATCATTATTTATGTATTGTACTAATTAATAAAAAATTATAATAACAATCATTCATTTTGTTACCTTAAACAAATCTTCTATATTTCTACGATTAATCAAAGAATCTCTTGCAAATACTTAAATTTTGTTATGTTATTTTCATTTTATCATTAATTGTACAATATTAAATAATTTTGGTGCTAAATAACTAAAATAGTTATGGATAAAATCCTATTTTAAGTATTGGAATTTTGTATTTAAATCCCTATATTCTGTTAGGATAAACATCAATTTCTATTTTAAAAAATTGTATACTTTATAAGGAATAATATTCCATATATATTAATATATATCTCACAGGAAATATTTTTAGTAAAGTATACCTGTTATAAGTTGTTTTATTTTTATCATTATGTGGTGTTATGTTTTTATAATATTATTCTGTAATGATACAATTGGATTTAGTGTGATTGGATAAGATTCTCCCCATATAAGAATTCCATATCGAATTACTGACTATCAGTGAGAAACAAGGAATTTTTAACATCTGAATGATTTATTCAAAACCTGAAAGTGACTATGTTTTGAGAAGTAATTTTATCAGTATTTAAAATTCTCTAATAATGATAGTGCCTGAAAGAAATTAAAATTTGTTGAATGACTTCAGAATGATTGAACTTTAGCTTCAGTCTGTGGCCAAGCAGTCTGTTTTATTTGGAGACTGTTCACTCATCAAAAGCACATTCCCTTACACTTGACTTGATTATTGCCTTGAAGTGTGCATGTTCTTGAATGTAAGTGTGGAACCACGTTGTGTTATATTCAGACAAAATTATCTAAAGAAATAAATATAATGTCTTCAAGTGAAGTAGTGTCACTACTGAATATCCAGGTTTAAAAATGCATCGTGTGTAAGGTAAATACTACTGTACGTGTGTCAGGTAAATACTACTGTACGTGTGTAAGGTCAATATTACTGTACGTATGTAAGGTAAATACTACTGTATCTGTGTAAGGTAAATACTACTGTACGTATGTAAGGTAAATACTACTGTACATATGTAAGGTAAATACTACTGTACGTATGTAAGGTAAATACTACTGTACGTGTGTAAGGTAAATACTACTGTATCTGTGTAAGGTAAATACTACTGTACATGTGTAAGGTAAATACTACTGTACCTGAAGGTAAATACTACTGTACATGTGTAAGGTAAATACTACTGTATGTGTTTAAGGTAAATATTACTGTATGTGTGTAAGGTAAATACTATTGTATCTGTGTAAGGTAAATACTACTGTACGTGTGTAAGGTAAATACTACTGTACGCGTGTAAGGTAAATACTACTGTACGCGTGTAAGGTAAATTCTACTGTACGTGTGTAAGGTAAATACTACTGTACATGTGTAAGGTAAATACTACTGTATCTGTAAAGTTAATACCATTGACACAAGTTTTTTGTGTTATTTACTGTGGAGTTACACATGTATGTATTGTTACTTATGATGCTGGTTGAGAAAAAATTTTTAACAAAAATTTGTTTAATGTTTTTAAAGCCTTTAGTATAGAAAACTATTAATGCCTGTTTTGTTATAATTTTTTGTCTGAACAGCTTCGTTAAATTGTTTTTAAAGAATGTTGGTATAAAACTAAAATTTTTATTATTATCCAGAGAAAGATCTAGTCTTAAAACTGTAGGTGTAGATAACAAACAATCTTCCACCCAAACAATTTAAATAGGAAATCTGTTTTTATTTCTTTGAATCACAGTGTGTGTCAAACAATGCTTGAGTAATCTTAAGCACATAGTTACTCTGTGTAGTTGAGAATGTTGTTGAGTAAGAAATGTGATCCTTTGGTAGGAAGTTCATAGATTCTAGAAACATGTTTAACATTTTCACTGTTATGGACTTAGCTGTACAACCTCATCTGGAGACATTTTACATGAAAACAAGCACAGGAAACCTTACTATGAAACTAAAACTCTTATTCCTTCAGCTTATATTCTTTATTAGTGATATTTTTCTTGATGTTTAATTGTAAGAAACCTAGAAGAAAATGTTTGGAAGTGCAGAATTATTAGATGAAAGAATATACTTCTTTGGTGAAGATTAAGAATGGTAAAATATTATTGGATGCATTCTTGGTGGTCTAACACTAAAATATTCTATTTCTAATTTTTAAGTTTCAGCAAAAACAACTTGTTTTCTCCAGCTGAGATCATGAGTTAAACATGTGTTAATACCAAATTTTCATTTTATTTAGTATCAAGAGTTCCATGCCATAAGTATGATAGATAAAAGTTAAGGGATTTCAATTCTTACAAAAAATTAACTTATGCAACTTACTGAAATATTTGTATTTCCTTTTACTTCAGGATGCAATTTAAAGTTGTAATAGCTTCACTGACTTCACAAAATGTTACTCATTTAATGCAAAACTTCCAAAGAAGCATTCAGTTTACTTAGAATAAAAAGGGAAAATTATGACTATACATAAATATACACTGTATCTATTTTCTCACAGATAATTACATTTTGCTAAGATGGAGTTATATTTTTCAAAATAAAATCATATTTAATGCAACTTCAAATAGAACAAGAAATATTTCTTTTTTCTAAGTTAAAGAAAAATTTTTTTTTACTCTGGTCATCATGCTATTGTTTTTTTCTGTTAGTGGGTTCTTTCCTGTAGTAATAAACTTTCTACAAAGAATTCCTGTTGTGGGGACTTTGCTGTCGCTACCATTCATCAATAAGGTATGGTTAAGCTGTGCCTTTTTTATATTTTGTTGTTAATACACTGCCATCAGATCATGTCAAACATACAACATAACAGTTACCTTGTTCAATCTCTGTTGTTAACACACAACCAACAGAACATTTTAAACATACAACATAACAACTACCCTGATCAATCTGTTGTTAACACACAACCATCAAAACATTTTAAATATGCATCATAATAGTTACCTTGATCAATCTGCTGTTAACACACAGAACATTTTACTTTTTTTTAATGTAAGGTTTTTTACAAGCATCTGCTAACTTTTAAAGAATGCCATAAAAATATTTAATTGAGATGCATGTGTAACTGAAGAGAACAGATTTTTGATTAATTGAGAAACAGAATATTTTTGGATTTAAAAAATAATTCTCTCAGCTTGCATAGCATTACTATAGTAATAAGTATATTAGAATTTGCTTGGATAAGTGACCCCATTTTCATTATGAAGATGAGCATAAGCTTCTTAAGTTTGTGTGTAGCTGTAATTTAGTTGTTTAAAACTTATAATTTTCTTTATATTTATACAAGTAAACCTCTTCATCAAATTAATTTACAACATTCTATAAAACCAAGCAGTAGCCTTCTAATCTGAAGCAAGAAATTCATTTAAACATTGCACATTAACTTCAATTGTGTTCCATAGATGGCACTTGTATCTTTATCACATGTTACTCCTGGTGTCACTCTAGTTCAAATCAGGGATTTATAAAGGTCTTTTCATCACATCACTCATCTCTAATTCTGTTCAGGTTTCTAAGAAGATTGAAAGTGAATAAAGTAACTATCTTATATTTTATTGTAGTTGAAACTACATTTTAAATTTAGTTAAGACAAAAGAAAGTAGACACCAGATGGAACTTTTATCCTGTGAACATAGAAGTCAGGGGTAATTGTTAATACTTCAAAAGATACATCATGGGTATTTGTTAACTTTGAAAACAGACATCAAGTGTATTTCTAGGTTATTGAGTACTTGTCAGCTTTATAAACCAGTATCCTATGTAACTGCTGGGTTTAAAACAGCTATTAGGTATTTTTGTAAGGTATTTAAACTAACATCAGTAAAAATTGTTAGCTTTTTATGCCAGCATCATTGTTAATTATTAGGGGCTAGGAATGGCTTAGTTGTTATCATTGTTGACATAAGGAGTGTGATTCTTATCCCTTCATTGCAAAAGAAATAATAAATCACACTCCAAACATTGGAGCTCTGATTCCATTATAAATGTGACGATCAACTCCCACTACTTTACGACAACAACCCAAAGGTTGGCAGTGGGTGATGCTGACTAGCTGCTTTCTTTCTAGTCTGTCACTTCAAAATTAGAGATAGCTTAAACAGATAACCCGTGAGTAGCTTTACAAAAATATTCAAATGAAACTAAGTAATTGTTGACTTTATAACCAGTATCAGGGGTAATTGTTAGTTTTATAAACCAACATCAGGGGTAATTGTTAGTTTTTATAAACCAGCATCAGGGGTAATTGTTAGTTTTATAAACCAACATCAGGGGTAATTGTTAGTTTTATAAACCAACATCAGGGGGAATTGTTAGTTTTATAAACCAACATCAGGAGTAACTTGTGGGTTATAAAATGGACATCAGTTGTTTTTTATTAGGTTATTAAGCCAACATCAAGGGTAATTATTAGATTTTAATATGGACATCAAAGATAATTGTCACTTTTTTAATGAAAACAAGTTTTCTTTTGATAGAATTAAGATATCAAACGAATAAGAAAACTCGCTTTGGTTTTTAGGTCTCACACTATTGCACACTAAGTAACAGATCTTGTTTAATGTTTGTAGGTCTCACACTAAGTAACAGAACTTGTTTAATGTTTGTAGGTCTCACATGATTGCACACTAAGAAACAGAACTTGTTTAATGTTTGTAGGTCTCACACTATTGCACAATAAGTAACAGGACTTGTTTAATGTTTGTAGGTCTCACACTATTGCACATTAAGTTACAGAACTTGTTTAATGTTTGTAGGTCTCACACTATTTCACACTAAGTAACAGATTTTGTTTGATGTTTGTAGGTCTCACACTATTGCACACTAAGTAACAGAACTTGTTTAATGTTTGTAGGTCTCACACTATTGCACACTAAGTAACAGAACTTGTTTAATGTTTGTAGGTCTCACACTATTGCACACTAAGTAACAGAACTTGTTTAATGTTTGTAGGTCTCACACTAAGTAACAGATCTTGTTTAATGTTTGTAGGTCTCACACTACTGCACACTAAGTAACAGAACTTGTTTAATGTTTGATTATGGTTAGTAAGTTACCTAATGTGAGTTAATATGAAAACAGCAGGTAGATGTAAAATTATAAATCTCATACTGCCTTCTAGAATACTGTATATGCAAACAAAATGTCAAAATTTTAATTTAGAACCAAGTTTATGTAGTCTTAAAACTTGAGATCTTTTCTTGTGGTTCAAAAATGGATATTTTAATGATAATTTATGTACTAGTAGCTTATTACTAAAACAGTATTTTAAATCCCTAGGTTGTAGACAGGATAGGAAATGATCCTACCAGATCAATAGTATGAGAAGAGTTCTAGCTATTGAAGAAAATTGCATTTTTATAAAACCAACCAACATCTAGGCAAGATTGTTCATATGCAATGGCAATACAGAATAATAAGTGAAATTTTGTGACCCACTAAAATATTCATCCTACTAGGATGGGGCACTCGACCACAAAATAATGTAAATTTTAGGTTATTATTTTCTCTCTGCCAAAACAAAATATCTTATATTTATTTTATATGCATAATTATGTGTATTTAGTGAGACTTCACCCACAAAGTGTGGCCTCACAAAACTTTTTTTTCATGTCCTGTATTTTACAGGGAGATTTTTACAATTTCAGAAAAAGTTTGAATCATTTTTTTTATATAAATTGTAAACATTAATGAAATATATTTTTGTAATTCCAATATTTTTGTGACATGAATAATTTTCAATTGTCAACAGTTTTATCACTCAAGCAATAAAACAGCATTATGAAGCCTAAGCTGAAACTTTCATAAAGTAAAAATGTTTATCCTTATAAGAAGCATAAGTATATAAATGATTAAAAATGAAATATATGTAGTTAGTGTACTGTGCTTTTAAAATATGTTTGGAAATATTTGTATATACCTCTGTAAGAATCAGTAAAGTCACTTTATGTTAATTCTTGTGTTGTTTTCATTACCATAACTGTCATACATCCATCACTGAATATGATAATAACTCTACGAGTAATAAGTCTTTAGGAATTTTACAAAATTGGTTTTAAAATCAATGTAACTTTGTACTCTTGTCAAAAATAAGCCATAAATACACAAATAATAGTTTTTTATACAAGAAATATGTTAATAAAAAAATGTAAATACACAATACTGTTTAAAGTAATTTACAATAAAGTGTAAACCACATTAAAGGAACAATACCAAGTTTAAATAGAAAATTTTGAAATTTGAAACGTATTTACAACGCTACTTTTGAACGATAACTTCAACCATAACAAATCAGTCGTGTCCTGTATGCCTTATTATCCCTCGTAACTGTGCCTTCCATTAGTTGATGGTTTCGATATGCACTTGCTAACTTTTTTTCGTATGTAGAACACACTTCTTTTATCTCGAGTTTTTCGTCCCAAACACAAACACCATTCTTGGTGGTATTCTGGAAGTGATCTTGATCTTGACAGAAGCCTAGAGCTTTTCATTAGGTTGACTTACTTAAGGCGAAGTCCTCTTTGAAGCTAATCAATTGGTTCTTCTCCTTCTTGGATCACCTATCTTTCTGAAGGATGGTTGTCGTCATTATCTTGTGCTTCCATCCTCATTCTTACTGGAAGTTCAACCTCTGGTGGTTAATTGTCTTGTAGTGCACAAGGATTCCCAGGTCTTACACTGTGAAACATCACGTCTATGTCAACACATGAATTTTATTCCCAGTATGCCTTCTACATTAATGCTAATTACCCATTGTGAGGGTGACTTCCAACTTTCTGACCACTTGCTTTTGGCATCAGTCCATCCTCTTGCTCCATTCTGGAGGTAATATCCCAGCTTTCATTAGCAGAACAGATCACACAATGGTAACTATAGAACTAGTATCAATCAACATGTTTCAAAGCTTCCAATTAATGAATCCGTTGACTCATGGAATGGTTTCTTTAAATACAGCGCTTTTGATCGTAGTTTTAGAGGATTGGTTTCATGTCAGGATACCTTCTCTTTGGTTTATTACCAACGCTTGATTCTTCACAAGTTTTCCACACTTAAAATAATTTCCCTTCCCTTTCATCCTTTGGGGGATATTTCTGGCAATATGTCCTTTTTGAGTTGCAATTGAAACACCGTTTGTAGTATGGCTGACTTCTTTCATACCTCCCAGTGACTCGGAGATAAGTCTCGGGACTTACAACGTTGAAACCTTGGTTTCTTATACCCGCGGTGGGCCGAGTAGAGATAACCCATTGTGTAGCTTTGTGCTTAACAACCAAACAATGCCTTGATCTAAGTTTAATATCATATTTCTTTCTGCTTGTTGTTCTTTTTGATTTTCTGGCACTTTTCTTTATAGTCTCTCTCCACTATTTTATTATTTACAAGAAATTTTCGATCTTGCTTTACAAAACTCAACTAATTGACTGTAAGTAACATACAACCTGACTAACCAAAATCACAAATCAATAATCAATCGTTCTAGCCCATCTCGTGTTTTTTTTTAAAGTAGAAACAGAATCATTATTCTGTAAACTTATTTATGCAATGGGCTTATTAGCAAGACATTGATTCTTAATGAAAACACCAGGTAATTTCAACCAGATTTTCAAAATTTGTTTCAGAATCTTACCATGAACGAATTTTATGAAATATAGATTAAATCAACAAAATGAAAGAAAGAAGGCTTGACAGCCAAGGACTTACCAGAACATGTAGAAGTTTTTAGTACCCATTCTTTCGTTTTGAATGACAATATAGAACCCACAGGCAAGTCTGACATAATGGTTAGTGGATGAGCATGTTCAAGGTTCGAGTCGAACCGTGACAGTCCATCCCTTTACTCATAAGGAGTAGAGCATAGTGATATCAACTGGTCTCCTGCCCCCTAAAATAGTCAACAATTATGTATTAGAGATACTTGAACCTTAGTGGTCCCTGATCTGGCCGTTTAGTCCATGTGTTACATAACTTGATTCGCCTCATAATATAGTCAACAATTATATATTAAAGATGTCTGAACCTTAGTGGTGCCTGATCTGGCCACACATGGGCTAAACGGCCAGATCAGGTACCACTAAGGTTCATGTATCTTTAATATATAATCGTTGACTATATTATGAGGCGAATCAAGTTATGTGACACATGGACTAAACAGCCAGATAAGGGACCACTAAGGTTCAAGCATCTCTAATATATAATTGCTGACTACATTAGGGGATGGATCAAGTTATGTGACACATGGACTAAACGGACAGATCAGGGACCACTAAGGTTCAAGCATCTCTAATATATAATTGCTGACTACATTAGGGGATGGATCAAGTTATGTGACACATGGGCTAAATCACATAACTTGATGTTCAAGTTAAAATACTACATAACAAAAACAAATTGCAAACTTAAAGAATGTCAATTTGTTAAACATGTTTTAAAGTGGATATTGAATTTGAGATTCGAGAAAATACCCAGAAAAACTATCAGACATCTTGTTAAAATTCGTTGTAATTAGGAACAACTTTAGAACAAACAAAAAAAGATACAGGAAGTAATGCTTTACAATAAAAACTCTTTCATTAAGACTTTTTTCACTGGGTAGACATGACCGAAACATAACCAGTAGTTTTGTTATGAAAAAAAAAAACTGTATCAGCTATTGAGCGCACGCTCTGGGTTCGAACTAAGATCAATAAGAAGAGCTCGACAGGATTTTGGCACTAGCCCGGACTGCAATAGTTAACGGCAGTCGAAATTTGAGTCTTAGCTCGAGATGGACCTCATTAAGGTTGCTTTGAATCTCAACATGGACAAAATGCATATCGATTGTCGAGGTCGACGAAGAGGCAGAAAGCCACTGGTGGTGAACAACAATCAATCCAAGGCGTAAGTTTATTATTGATAACAAGAGCTGTTGACAGGGAAAACTCATACTGAAACCAAGGGATGTTTAACATCATCTCGACTGAGTATGAGCTCGTTTATATATATATATATAAGATGATATTCATCGTTACAGCTAGAGATTATCTGTCCAATCTTATGTATGTTTATTAATACATAATTTTAACTTTTCTATACATTCTATTGTCTATCTAGTTTGAAATATCCCTTTCTTTTTTTGGACATACAAAGGTTTGAATATAACGTTAGCATCAATATCAAAGACAGTGGATTTTGGGATATTGCAGTTAAAACAAATACATTTGTATATCAATAGCAAAATGAAAACTATTTCCTCCTAAGCCTATACACTTATTTCTTTTGATGTGGTCTATATTAATTAACATTTAAGTCTGGCAAAAGCAAGCTGTCAACATGTATCAGAGCTAAAACCTGACCATTAATTAGTATAGCTAATTAAATATTCTGTCTTACTTGCAATGATTAGAATACATTGTTTCATTAATCTGTATCTAATTACATTATTTTGAAGTATTATATTTTTAAGTGCTAATGATCGAAAGATAACCAGTAGTCTTGTTATGAAAAAACTGTTTGATAATTAATTATACAACATTATTTCACCTTAAACATTAAAAACATTATAACCCAGTATGTTAAAATGGAATAAACAAGAAAATACTTTTTTTTCCCCGAAAGATTAGATTATATAGATAAAGTAAATATTTCGTGCTCACAAATTTTGAATTTCAACGGTACGTCTATTTGTTAAACTTAAGTTTTGGCTAAGATATTTCAAGTTCGTATGTATAATGAAATGTAAAACAGGCAGAAAAAATTAAAGAAAGTACATGAAAATGAGTTTAGGGTGGGTAATGAAGAGGAAAGATAACATGTAATACATCATCATTCTGGACCCGGCATGGCCAGGTGGTTAGGGAGCTCGACTCACAATCAGAGAGTTGCGGGTTCGAATCCCCGTCCCATCAAACATGTTCGCCCTTTCAGCTGTGGGGGCGTTATAATGTGTCGGTCAATTCTACTATTCGTTGGTAAAAGAGTAGTCCAAGAGTTGGCGGTGTGGTGATGACTAGTTGCCTTCCCTCTAGTCTTACACTGCTAAAGTAGGGACGGTTAGCGCAGATAGACCTCGTGTAGCTTTGCGCGAAATTCAAAAACAGAAAACAAAATCATCATGCTGCTAGATAAATATAAAGGTCGACGGTAAATCAGCCAGATAAAAAGTGATTACTTAAGGATTTCAACATTATTTAAGAGTTTAACTTACTGATATTTGTGGAACCGATTATAATTAATATCTTATCCAAAAGCACTCACAACCTGTCCAACGTTGATAAAGATCGTGTGTTTATCATTAAGATGGTTAAGTTTCTACTTCACAATGTGAGTTGGCAAAGATCGTGTATCACGTATTAGATGACATTGTCTTTATGAATGATTAATGGTGAATTGAAACATATATTAGTGAAACAGCAATTTGATTATCTTTACTAAAAATGTATTTCGATTAATTACTGTAACAGATTATCTTTATAAACGGTGTGATTGGA